CCCCCATGTTGGTCATCCCATGACCACCCCATCTCCCGCCTCTCCACAGTGACACTCAATCGCTACCATGCCAAGAAAGAAGGTGACGGACGGAAGTGGAGGCAGGAAGCGGGCGGCCGGGAAGAAGCGAGGCCGCGATGAGTTCAGCAGCGACGACGATCTAGAGCTGGACGGCAGCCCGGGATCAGACGGGGGCGCCAACCACAAGCGGGGACCCAACAAGGGAGGAGCCAAATCCCAAGCTGGAGCCGCTGCTGTCGTCGTTACCGAACCCGAACATACTAAGGAGAAGATCGTAAGTGACCCCAATGTACTACATAGTCTTCACCCCCCAATCCGGAGCACATAGGGGAGGCGCCATCGTACTAAAGCTGGGGAATAATATATCATTAATGGAACACGGAGAAGCCAATAAATGTCAAAACATATAATTATTATTATCATTCTTATTATTCTATTTATCATCCATGAAATGGCGGATGCCAATGAGGACACCTGGCGTGACGCCATATTTTACTCACCACCCCCAACCTGGGCACACAGAGAGGCTTGTAAAGTCTATTCTCCATTTGTATTGCCCTCCTAGATGACTAAGGACCCACCAGGGAGGAGCTAGTCAAATATGACTTCCTATGTATCACGGGTACTTATCACCAGTGGACGTGTCTACGCCAAGAAGCATATGAGCCCGTGTTTTCATGATCCCAAGTGTGTATATGTAGAGCTATAGTCGGGGGTTGGAAAATGTTAGGGGAGTCTCACCAGTCGGCATTATTATTATATGGGATTTATATGGCGCCAACAGTTTGAGCGGCGCTTTACAATATAAGGAAGACATTACAATCACAATACAAGATAAGATGGTAAGGAGGGCCCTGCCCCTGAGGGCTTACAATCTAAAAGGGGAGGGGCCAGTGATACATGAGGAGGTAGCTGTGTGGGGATGAATTGTCTGGGAACGTGATGGTTAGGTTGAGGTGGGATGGGCTTCCCTGAAGAGATGAGTCTTAAGGGAACGCCTAAAGGCAGAACCACTGGGGGAGGGGGTATTTTTTTATTATATAATGAAAAAAAGTACCGTAAATTGGCCAAATTTATTTTTTCCTACGTTTGTTATAAAACATTTCTTCTTACGCATATTTTTGGTAAAATATAAAAGTCGGGTAAATAGACACCACACATGTCAAGCCTTGAGGGCCTGTTCACACGACGTCCGTTTTCTGTGCTGACCTGATCCGTGCGCTCCTGCATCCCAATGTCTCCCTCTGTGTTTTATGGGCTCCGGTTCCCACGTGCGCAGTCAGTTCAGCTTACGACAGAAAAATACAGCATGTCACATTTTGAACGGTCAGCAAACGCGTCAAAAACGCACTGCAGCTAACACACTAACAGCCCCACTCCACCAAAAAAAAGCACTGACTGGCTATAGGTCAGAGCATGACCAATGGCCCTTAAAGGAGAACTATGAGGGGGGAGGGGCTTTTCACTCACCTCCTAGTTCTAGCCGACCTGTGACAAAAGCTGGCACCTAACTTTTGAGGTTTCCTCTTAGTTGTTGTCAGTGGAGAGGGCTCCTGGATTGAGCAGTCTGGATCCTTCGTTCCATATTTACCTCTCTACCATAGACGTAGTCTTCAATCATCTACTCTGCAGACTTTCCGTGTTTTGTGTACTAGTTTGACGCCGATATTTATTCTGTTCCTTCCAGAAACTTGAAGGCTCCAAAGCTAAGGGACAGCTCTTGATATTTGGAGCAACCAACTGGGACTTGATAGGACGTAAAGAAGTGCCTAAGCAACAAGGTGAGCAAGCTTGCCGTCTGTCCCGTACCCCATCTGGATGCCGAGCTCCTCTGTATGGTACACACAGTTCCTTTTCTAGGAGATCCTGAGGTTGGTCGTAAAGCAACAATCATGGATGGCTTCACCTGAAGCTGCCAATCCAACTCTAGTTGACCCATGTCTAGATGTTGGGGCACAACGGGTTTTTTTAAGGGATGTTCAATCCCTAGAAGATTCTGGTGGTATCTCCTCATTTAGTTTACAGATCTACATACCAGGTTTGGCCTCGTTGAGGGGTTCACCACCTGCCAGGTTTTCACTTGGGTGACTACCCCAACGAGTAGAGTAGGATCTCCCATGTGGGCAGGAACCAAGCTAGGAAGTATGGCTGGGGGATCTTAATTGTGGAGTCCCACAAAACTCAACACTAGACTTCACCTTGTGACTGTAATCTACCCTTTTGGATACACTGGCCCTTTAAATGCTTACATTTGGTAAGCAGACATCTTTCCATTACATTGATCTCCAGAAGTATGCCCTTCCCTCTGCAAGTTGTGTAAAGAGGACCTGTGTGGTTGAAGCTGTGCCCAACTAAGTCAAGGATAGGACAAAGGATCAGTCACCAGTGTTGCATGTGGTCCTGCAGCTGGATCCTTTGACCCCCATTTCTGACTCAAGCGCGCCTTGTTCTACATCGTGCCACTGTCTGGAGGTGGCCATCTTGGCCTTTGCTTCCTCATGTCAGAGCTGCCCTCCCCGATGACTGGGGGGTAATTATAGAGATGGAGGAAGTTGAGATCCACAGAATGGACGAAGCAAAAGCAGGGAGATCCTTGCATTGCAGCTCCTCGGGTACGGCTTCCTCTCCAGCAAGGAGAACGGTGAGCACAAAAGTGACATCCCCCAATCTCCTGAGACCAGCAGTCAGGCAGCAGCGCCTTAAATGATCTCACACTGCAGATATACAGCTATGAGGCTACAGAACAGGAGCACCTAGGCACAGGAAGCACTTTATTTCCAGTAGGGATGCACTGATATGGGTTTTTCGGTACCGAGTACCGATATATATTTTTTTCGGGACTCACCGATACCGGAAGTCCCATTAAAGGAGAACTATGGGGTCATGGCTTTTCCCCATAGTTCTCAGGGTAACGGGAGGACACAAATTAGCGTCCTCCCGTCACCCTAGGCTCAGTATATAGGGAGCTACAGCTCGCAGTATACTGAGACCGCCGCAGCCGGAACGGATCCCGACAATTGTCTGGATCCGCCCAGCTGCGTGAGTGACAGCTGGCTCTGCCTAGCTAGAGGCAGAGCCAGCTGTACCCTCCCCCTCCCCCGTCCTGCCAGTCAGCGCTGGAGGATCTGAGCGGGGAGGGGGGAATCCAGTCCCTCCCCTGTCATGGCAGAGAGCCGTGACAGGATCGAGAAGTGAGCGAGCGCCGGTATGTGTTCCCCATCTACTGAGCCAACCTGTCGGCTAGAACTCCTTTAACCAGTTGACATCCGCGGTGTTAAACCCCCTTCCCATCCAGGCCATTTTTCAGTATTCAGCGCTGCGGTACTTTGACTGACATTTATTCTGTCATGCAGCGCTGTACTGAAATGAATTTTATACCCTTTTTTGGGGACAGATAGAGCTTTCTTTTGGTGGTATTATCATGCTCCCTTGTCACCTGGTGATGAGGGAGCATGAAGCCGGCTTTCTGGCCAATCTTAAAGCCATGTAATGACATGTTGCCCGGCTTCCTGATTGGTCATTAAACGGCGCCCGGTTTCCTGATTGGCCGGGAAGCCGGCTTCATGAAGCCAGCTTTCTGGCCAATCAGAAAGCATGGGGGCGTGTAATGACGCGCTGCCCGGCTTCCTGATACCAGAATTATCGGGCTAGGCATCGGAGCATTTGGACGATTACTCACCGAAATACTTGGTATCGGCACTGATACCGATACTAGTGTCGGTGCATTCCTAATATCCAGGATGGTAGATTTTTCCGGCTACTGCTTAAGAACAATCGTCATTTCTAGATGTCTCCTATAAGATGACAAATCCTCACTTCAAAGTCCGCTTTGATCAAGCTTTATTATAACCCTGACAAGGCACATCTTTATATCTGCGAAACTCCCTTTACATTACCTCAGCAGAAGATGGCCGCCGAGTTCCCTGGACTTTTATTGTCTTCTTGTGTCTTCTATGTGATTTTTATTGTCTTTTTTTTTGTTTTTTCCCCCCCAGCTGCCTATCGTAACCTCGGTCAGAACCTTTGGGGTCCACACAAATATGGTTGCCTCTCGGGAATTCAAATACGAACGGTGGCATCGGGCCCCTGCTCAGTTACAGGTCACAACTCTGACGGGAAGTATATTGCCCGGGCACAGCGAATCGAGTACGACTGCGAGCTGGTCCCGCGCAGGATCGCCATATTCATAGAGAAAACGAAGGATGGCCAAGTCCTGCCCGTGCCCAACGTGGTGGTGCGCGATATAGCCTGCGGCATTAACCACACGGTGAGACTGTCCCGCAAAAACACAAGGGGCCCGATTGATGATGCAGCTGGTGTGCACGAGTCACATGGTACACGTCCCATGGCGGGGCACTGCTGCCCTCTAGCGGTAGTACTGAAAACTGCGACTTCCTATAAAAATTGGCTAAATTGGTTATCTGGCTAAAATTCACATGTCATCCACCCGTGACAGGGGAGGGGCTGGATTCCCCGCTCCGATCCTCCAGCGCTGACTGGCGGAACTGACGGGGGAGGGGGCGGGTACAGCTGGCTCTGCATCTAGATAGGCAGAGCCAGCTGTCACTCACGCAGCTGGGTGGATCTCGACAGTAATGTCGGGATCAGTCCCGGCTGCGGCAGTCTCGGTATATAGAGAGCCGTAGCTCCCTATATACTGAGCTTAGGGTGACGGGAGGACGCTAGTTTGTGTCCTCCCGTTACCCTAAGGAGAACTATGGGGAAAAGCCCTGACCCCATAGTTCTCCTTTTAACCCATTGTAGTCAGTGAGCAGAATGGTGTGGGGGGAAGTGGAGCTCTAGAAGCTGGATGGAGGGTTAAATGACTGTTGGTGTCTGTAACACTTTTTTTTTTTTTTTAATATTTTCGTCTTTCCCCAGCTGGTCCTGGACTCCCAGAAACGCGTCTTCACCTGGGGCTTTGGGGGCTACGGCCGGCTCGGACACACGGAGCAGAAAGATGAGCTGGTCCCGAGACTAGTAAAACTGTTCGATTTCCCCGGCCGTGGGGCCTCCCAGATCTACGCCGGGGCCACCTGCTCATTCGCAGTCAGTGAGATGGGTGAGTAGATGATAATGGATGCCGGGTTCACTGTTGCCTTGGTTATTTTTCAGAGTCTTCTCTACGAACTTTTTGAATGATTAGTTACTGCGCTTTCAGTTCATTCCTTACCCCCCCCCAGGAGCTCACTATGTGAGGTCCCCATCTCACATGCATGCCATACACACACCGAGTGGCCAGATTATTATGACCACCTGACGTTTGTAGGCAAATGAGCTATAATTTGGCGCTGAAGTTGCTAGAGGGCCAGACCATTATAAATAGGGGGGCAGGTTGTTTACCACGACAGTAGAAGTGATTGGGAAGATACCGGGAAACAACGCGATTTAACAGCCTTTGAACGCGGGATGATTGTTGGCGCTCGGAGCCATGGAGCGAGTATCAGCAAAACAGCAGAATTCATTAAATGTTCAAGAGCGGCTCATTGTTAAAGTGTTTAAAGACCGGACTGTCAGCCGAAAATCTGGGTCTGAACGTGCGAATTGTGGCCGTCAGCGACTAGTCAATGTTAGGGCAGAACGGGGGAGGGGCAAGACTGGTACAAGACAACAGAAGGGCAACAGTGCCGTGTCAGATTCCTCGCATCACCTTTCATCATCTCGCGGAGTCACCAGGCGGCCCAACCAAGTACTGATGGGGGGGTCATAATAATCTGGCCACTCAGTATGTGAGTATGTGTATGTGTATGTATGTGTGTATATATATATATATATATAGATAGATAGATAGATAGATAGATAGATAGATAGATAGATAGATAGATAGATAGATAGAGATATATATATAGATATAGATGGATAGATAGCCAATTAACCCAGCAGGATGTCTTTTGGAGTGTGAGCAGAAACTGCAGTACCCGGAAAAAACCAATTCAAGAACAGGGAGAATATGCTACATACATAACTACATGCAGATCGCATCCTAGCTGCTATTCAAAACGGGGACCCCCAGTATTGCCGCATCTTCTGTTTGAGTCCCGGCGGTGGGAACCTGGAGTTTCTCTTTAAAGCAGACCGATACTTCCGATCCAAAGGGAGGGATCTGGAAGGATTCATTAGTACCTGCCTATAGCATATATTGATTGGATGCAGCAGAGGTGAATGGATAGAAAGTCCCTCCGCACTCCTCGCAACGCTCCCGGCCTGTACAACAATGGTGCTCGCAGGGATGACCACGGATGGCGCCGTGCGGACACAAGGTAGAAGACGAGAATCGCCAGCACTCAGTAATATCATTCAATATGTCCATTGACGCATCTTCTCGCCCTGACGAAGGGACCCTGTGTGGCCCCCGAAACGTACGCTTCTTTTTTTTTGCCTGGCGGGGAATCGGCCTTGGTCTCTCTTTTATACAGCACTCAGCTAATTGCACTCTTCCTTCCTAGGCGGGCTGTATTTCTGGGGAGCTACAAACACCTCTCGTGATTCCACCATGTACCCCAAAACCGTGCAGGACCTTTGTGGCTGGAAGGTTCGAAATCTGGCCTGCGGGTGAGTACAATGTATGTGTGTGTGTGTGTGTGTGTAAGGAATTGGCAGACTTTGTATTGGAAGGTCAGGAGCAGGGGGTAACCAAACTCTGGCCCTCCAGCTGTGGTGGAACTACAAATCCCATGAGGCATTGCAAGATTCTCACAGCCACGACTCCCAGAATTAATCTGCTTTTTGCAATTTTTGGTCTCGGCGATGTTTAACGCTTGCGCTTTTGTTTCTATTCCGCAGGAAAAGCAGTATTATTGCTGCAGCAGATGAAAGCACAATCAGTTGGGGTCCATCACCGACTTTCGGAGAGCTGGTAAGTCTCCATCTTGTAATCCTTCTTTTCATGTTTGTGTTGGCCAGTCCCATTCTTCACCTCCAGCCCGCGGCAGCTGCACGATTAGGGCTGAGGTTTAATCTGCTCTTTTCTTTCCCCCCCCC